CGAACTATTTATCTTAAGCATTTTATGATAACTACAAAGAACTGCTTTTTAATTTCATGTTCTGTTTTTTTTTTGTTGCCCAAGTAGAAATAATTGTTTTCATCCTGTTGAAACCATGCTAAATGTTCTAATTCAATTTTAATGGTTTAGTTGCACAGTCTTTTGGATTTCCAAAATGCTCAAACACATCATCTGTGAATAGTCCATTTACCCGCTTCCTCTCAAATCTTGATGCCTTTTAAATTTCTTCAGTCTTTCTGATTACACTAAATATGAGACCTTGTACAAGTTTGAATAGAGGTGATTACAGTCTACTTCTTATTTTACATTCAGTCTCCAAGGGAAAGCTTTTCTCTTCCTCTTGTTTCTCCTTCCCTCCCTCCTTTCTCTCCTCCTCCTCTTGCTCCTACTTACACCCCTCCCTCTCTCATACAGTCTTCCTCTTTAGTCTAGAACTTGCTGTACGGAACAAGGCTGGCCTTAAACTCTCGGCAATCCTGCTGCTTCTGCTTCCTCAGAGGGTCATTGGTGTGTCCCATCAGCCCTGCCCAGCTGGAGGGGAATTTCGGTAGTGATAAGAGTGGTGGTGTTTGTGGGCTTCTCTATGTCGTAGATTAAGTTAGTTGATGTCTATTAGTTTGTTTTCTATTGAGCTACTTGGTAAGACAGTAGAAACTTTAGGATCACACACACACACACACATATTGATGAAAACGTTTTTGCAGCCACCTCTCAAATAAATGACTTGGGCTCAAATTCTTAATTTTGGTTATATATTGGGGGATACTTAAAAAGACATATGCTATAGGCCATCAGTAAAATGTTTATGTAAAAGGAGGAGGCTATGGGAGACAGCTTTCAGCCTGGCAAGGATGCCAGCAAGCCAGTGTCACTCAGCATGGGTTTGCTTCGTAGTATGCCAGGTCACACTTGGGCACTTTTGTCGATGGGAAGTGTGTGTTTGTCCCCCACGCAGATGGAGATTCGGTCTTACAGTCAGAGAGTCAGCTACAGGCTCTCCCTGGTTTATCAGGTAGATATTGTGTCTGTTAGAGCAAAGAAGAAACGAAAGTGAAGACGAACTAGCCGTAAGCTTGGCTTGTTTGTGTTGAGACAGGGTCTGATTTTGCAGGCCTGGCTCACAGGGTGTAGGCTGGACCACTTTGTCTAGGCTAGCCTGGTCTTACACTCCTGGTAACCCACTAGCGTCTGCCTCCTGAGTACTAGAAGGTCAATTGTGTGCTTCCATTCTGGCCAGGATATAGTAGGTTTGACTAAGACTAAGGCCCGACCATTGTGTTGACCAGATTATGAAGGGCTGGGATGAGAATTGGGAGGTAAAGTGAGTCTCTTATACTCAGTGAGAAACCAAGTTGCATTGAGAACAGATGTTCCGGAAACTCCCCCTGAATAAGGCTGAGTGTGAGAAAGGCAGGGAGATCCTTTAGGAAGCCCTTGGGGGGATCCAAGGGTATTGTGGTAAGGGTGGCAGTCAGAGCAGTAGACAGAGCAGTAGCAAAGGGTGTGTGTGTGTGTGTGTGTGTGTGTGTGTGTGTGTGAGAGAGAGAGAGAGAGAGAGAGAGAGAGAGAGAGAGAGAGAGAGAGAGAGAGAGGGGGNAGAGGGGGGGGGAGAGAGAGAGAGAGAGAGAGAGAGAGAGAGAGAGAGAGAGAGAGAGGTGCATGTGTGGGTGTGAGAGAGACGGGGGATATGACTGGGCAAAGGGAGTAAAAAGTGGTAGTGACTGACCAGATGTGACAGATGTGGGGACTGAAGGGGAGAAAGGGTTTCTTGTTGAAAGATGGTTTAAACACTTTTACTGGGGTTGCTGCCCTTGTAACAGGGGTCCCCCTGGTGGCAAAAGAGAACCAAAGTAAGGATTCCTCTCTCACAGGCTCTTCTGAGACGTGTACAACCATGCTTACAATATCATAAAATAGGGATGCCCCTCTGCCCTGGGGTAGCAAAGAGACACATCTAAGAATAGCTGAGAGCTAATTGTTGATCATGGAACAGGAAGTGAGGTCTGACCACATCCTTGATCTGTTCAAAGGAGGCGGATACTGGCCAAATTCTTTCTCCAAGAAACCTCCACGTAGTTGGAAAAGATCAGTTGGAGTCTGTAGCCCTAGATCCGGTAAACCCTGGGGACCTCTCCTGGGAATTACTGATCTCGTTTCTTAAGAGCACAGCCAAGGGGTGAGTGGAGACTCCGGAGCTGGATTCACCTGAGTTCGGATGCTGGCTTTGTCACAGTTGTACCAGCCTTGGTATCTTCCTCTGTGCATTCCACACAATGGCATCTAAGTGATTATGGGGATTCAGTTGGAGGTGATCCTGAGGATGGTAATAAAAAAGGGGGCCACTCCAAAACAGCTCAGAGAATTACTGAACTGGTAGACCACTCCCCCTTTCCTGAGGCCAAGGGCCGCAACTGGACAGGGAAGGCAGCATTCCAGAGAGCTCTCTGTCTGATTTTTTTTTTTCTCTAGGTAGCAGCTCTTGAATTTTCCAAAACAGGTGTGCTGTATAGGTCTGAGTCATCGACCAAGATGAGATATTTCAGAAACTTCCCATTTTAAGCCTTCGGCATGTTCCTGATTTTGTATAAATATCTTGCTTGCTATATAAATATGCAGAGTGCAACCTCTTGCTGAGTGCTGCGACGGACCTAAGAAGCCAGCCAGAGCATAGGCGCATCTAGTGATTATTTTTCACCGATCCCTTCGGATACTGGAAAGGTTTGCAGTGTTAAAGCTCATACGAGCTAGACCGTTGGAAATCACTGCAGCCTGGCTTTCCCTCTCCGGGAGCTCTGTGGGCACATGCATTAGTCGGTCTGATCCATCTGCAAGCCTTTGTGAGCTCCCTAATGAAAACAACTGCATTTTCAGGGCTTAATTGCGTATTATCGAGTGGTCTGTCTCTCATTCTGTAAACGTCCAATGATGAGGAACGTTCCGTTCATTAGAAAGCTCCAGCCTGTGAGGGAGGGCTGGTGTTTTATTGATGTATACAGAAAATATCATCCTAAAGGTCAGAAAATAACTATTGGAGAAAAAAGGCCTACCCTACCCGACTCCATGTAGACAATATTGTATCGAGTAGCGGGAGTTTGACAGGACTAATCAATCACATATTACACACACACACACACACACACACACACACACACACAAAACCAGCTAGCAGCTCTTCCTGTGTACTTGTGAGAGCATCTTCTCATTAGTTCTTTAGATTTGAAATTGCTTTGTCAGATGCAACAGCTGACATTGTGTGCTTCTTCTGGAGATACAGGAAACATCTGCTGGGTCCTCAGGAGGTGTTAATGTGGCGAGTAAACAGTCCAGTCAAGTCTGCTCTGAGTGAGTATGGTTGGGGAACCCACCTCAAGAGGCAGAAACCAGCGTTCTGGCTTTCATGAAGTGAAGAAGCGCATTCATAGCCACTGCCCACACCAATCAGTGCCCATCCGCCAGCCTCTTCCCTCCAGTTCTCTGTAATCTGGGGGAATATTGGCTGACCTTTGTCGCACAATAGCCATGCTCCTGGATAAAGAACTAGGTACATTTTCCTGATAGCCCAAATAAGTCTGGATTGTGCAGAGCACAAAATAGTAAGTAGGAAACATTGGCTCCCTGGCTGGGAAATACATAAAAATAATACTTGAAAATATTTTAAAATATAATTGTTTAATTAACTCAATAAACATGAGTCTATATTTGTTTTAAAATTATTTTCTATTATTAAGTATATTTGTTCTAAAACTATTTCTATCATTAAGTATTATCTTATAGTTTCTTATTTTTTATGTTTGTCTTCAATATATCAGAAGAGACTTTTGGCTAAATCACAAAACAGGCTACTTTTATTCCAAGTCTTACAATTATATCTACATGAATATATACATACATACATACATATATGTATGTGTGCATGCACGCATGTGTGTGTGAATGCTATTGTTTTAACCAGACAGCTGCCATGCAATAGCCAGGGGTATGCAATAAATGAATATATGGATTAATGTATGTGTGTTGTGAGTTAGGTTTTTCAAGAATTATGTATAAGTGTATTTCCTTATTTGATGTGTGGCCTGGCTACTTTTATCCCAAGTTGATCAAGCTGAGCTTAGACGTCTTCTTGAGCTTACTACTGAGCTGCTCATTTTTCAGGTGTAACTGCTTGGGAAATGGTACACATGACATGTGAGGACAAAAGCACAGACTCCCTGCTGTGTCTTCCCCTGTCATGGTGGCCTCCACATGTGTGAGCTGAGTGTGTGTGCATATGTCCAGGTGACACTTGGGATTAGAACAGCGTGGGTTTTAACCAACTGCCGGAGCCAGTCAATCTGAAGTCATGACCGTGGTAGAATATTATTTTAAGCTGTGTAACATTTGTTTATCGTATGGAGCATTTGTTTTAATGATGCAAAGATGTGTTGCATTCTTTTATGTTGTATTTGTTTAATTCTGTGAAGCTGTGACACTGTGCCTGTCTAAAACAGCTGATTGGTCTAGTAATGAGCTAAATGTCAGTAGCTAGACAGGAGAGGGATAGGTGGGGTTGGCAGGCAGAGAAAAGAAATAGGAGGAGAAATCTGGCAAGAGCGACCAAGGAACGAGAGAAGGAGAAGGAGAAGGAGAAGGAGAAGGAGAAGATCAAAGCCAGCCACTCAGCCACCCAGCCCGCAACCCAGCCAGCCAGCCAGCCGCCACCCAGCCAGCCACCACCCAGCCAGCCACAGAGTAAGAAGTAAAGAAGGGTATATAGAAAGATTAAAGTCTAGAGGCAAAAAGTAGACAGAATACTTGAAGTTAAAAAAAGCTGACTAGAAATATGCCAAGTTAAGGCCCGGCACTCATAAGAAAGAATAAGCCTTCATGTGTTTATTTGGGAGCTGGGAACTTGGAGGGGGAGACCCCCCCCAAAAAAAAGTAAAACAAAACAAAGCAAGTATATATGGCAATCTGAGAATGACCCCAGCACCGACCCTTACCTTCCGGTATCCCCAGAGCTGGTTCCCTTTCATGCCGTGACAGTCATAGAGCGTGACCGGGCTGCTGTGTGAGATCGCATCGAAGCAGAATTTTCGGGTGTGCAGAGGCTCGCCGGGTCGGATATCTTCTCTCCACCCGAAAGTAAAGAGCTAGCAAAACAACAGGAGCAGAGAAGCTGCGGTGAGTTCAAAGGGCGGGAAGGTTCCGGAGCATGCGCAGAGGTGTGGTAACAAGGTGGAAGCTCCCGGCTTGTGAATGCAAGGGGCATGCGTGTCTCTGCACAATCGAGGGCTTGAGAAGGCGACGCTTCAAAGTGCCGGCAAGACGCTGTACCGGTGGCCAGACGGGTAAACATGCAAATGAGAAGTTTTCAATTAGAAACTGGTAAGGAAGGAACAAGAGGAGGGGTGGAAGGGAGGGAGGGAGAGAGAAAGGTGTTTTGAAGGTGGAGGAAGAGGAGGGAAGGATGAAAGATGAGAGAGGTGAGAGGGAGAAGGGAGGGGGTGGAAGGAAGGAGAGGAGAAGAAAAGCCTTTAATAGAACTCTCGGCATTTATCAAGGAGATAAAGTGTTCCAGGATCAAGGACGGCGGCGCTGGCCTAATGAGCAGATTAACTGCCAAAGGACAAGACTTCAAGTTGAGCTGGATTGATGCTCGCACCTTGAAAAATCCAATTGAAGGGAAAGCCGAGCTCAATGAAGTAAAGAATAGGCAAATTAATTTTCTGGCGTAGGTAAGAGCAATTCTGTGGGGGCGATACAGTCAGTTTTAGATTGTAACTCACAACAGGAAGTCCAGTTCGCACTTATAGGTCCCTGACCTCCAACCTAAAACACGAGTTTTATGGAGTGATGGATACCACAACTCCATTTAATGCTTCAATATCACAACTCCACTTAATGCTTCAATATGCCGTCCATTGCTTCCTAGCCTCGCCTGTGTTATCCATCTTCCTCTATACTACGCATGCTACTTATGCGGTCCTAAATCAACGTTACAATGTGTTAAATTAACAGACGGCATTCCCTTTGGGAAAGAGTCTTTTCTTGAGTTACTTGAGTCGAACAACATTTGTAGGGTACCATCCAAAAAAGCCCTTAGCTGAAGGGGAAGATGGACCAGGGAAGCCTTGGGATTTCTTCCAGGTCTGGTATAATAGGTTATGTGATTCTTTGAGGAAGCTTCTAGGAGGAGACAGAGGTGTGAAGCAGAGCTGTCAGGGACAGCATGTTACTGGCAGAGAGCTAACAGTGTGCAGGGCTAGAATCACCTAAATACACTCGCCACTGACTTGGCCTTCCAGATACGTGGGTTTTCAGGTCCCACCTAGAGATAGGGCAAGTCTAGAGACGGCTAAGAGAAAACAGTTAAGTGGTGGGACTCTGAAAACAATTGAAAGGACTAGGGTAAGTGATTTGCATTAGGAAAAGAAATGATTTAAATCCATACATGCAAGAAAGCTATCTGAGGAGAGGTGAGTGTCTATGCTCCGTGCCCCTGAAAGGCAGGCAGGACAAGAGCCAGCTCAGACAGGACAAGGGTTAGCGTTTGTGATGGAGTCTTGAGCAGGAGTTGTGTAGTCTGTCTGTCTGTCTGTCTCTCTCTCTGTCTCTTGTTCTCTTAGGTCCTTCACAAAGGAGAAGCATCTATTTGGAATGCTCCTAAGTTTGAGCTCTCTTCCAAACAAGCTGCTTCCGTGACTTTTGAAATACCGTCTCCTCTGCAGTAACCACCTTTCCCGCGCCCTTTCATCTGTCTGCTCAGCAACATGGTGTCACCAAAGGGTGTTCTCCTTTCCTGCTTAGTCCTCAGAGCAACTTTCACCAAAATGCTCAAAACCCATCAACCATGTTGTGTCTAGCCCCTGGGAGGGTTTTCCCAGTGTGTCTCCTAGGAGACTCATCAAACTCATCCTTTCCTATACTTGCTGGATTTTCATGTCTTGGCTGGCCTGTTCTCCTTTGAGTTATTCTGGTTGGCGGTAACTTCATTCATCTTGTCAGCCATGAAGTCTTTGAACTTTTGCCTCTTTTACTTTCCTCATCTAATGACCTGTCAAGTCTGATCACGGCCTCATCTTTGGCAGTATTGGTGATGGAGCCCAGTGCCTCACGCGCACTAGGCAATGACTATACCACTACGGCACAACACAACTTGCCACTTTGGCCTCATAAGCACTTCTGGAATTAGTTTCACCCTCTGAATCTTCACAAACATTGTTCTCAACATCTCTTGTTTGGACTACTGTAATAAACTGCTTCCGTTCTCACATTCTTCTCTCTCTCTCTCTCTCTCTCTCTCTCTCTCTCTCTCTCTCTCTCTCCTCTCTCTCTCTCTCTGTATACAAGCATGTGTGTTTGCATGCACACGTGTGCGACCACGGGGGTTCAGAGGTCAGAGGTATTATTCTTTAGTCACTGTACACTTTTGTTTTAAAGTCAAGGTGTCCCCTGGGCTGGGACTTGCCGCATTGGCTACACTGACAGCCAGTGAGCTACAGCGTTCCTCACGAGTGGTTCACTTCCTCAGTACTGGGATTAAAAATATGTGTGCCACCAAACCAGACTTTTAAAGTGGATTCTGGGGCTTGAACGCAGGTCTTTGTGCTTCAAGGGAAGCACACTCCATGATCTGTGCCCCTATCACCTACCAACCTCCTTGTTCGTGTTGTCCACACTCCTGCCTCTCGTAGTCAACTAGACTTTTGAAAATTTTTATTTACTTGTTTAACTTTCAGGAGAAAAGTGTTCATTTGGCTATAGGTTACAGGCTCATCATCGGGGGAAGGGTAAGACAGGACGCAAGACAGGAGCTTGGAGGTAGGAGCTGGAGCAGAGGCTGTGGAAGGACACTGTTTCCTCCCATGCTTCTATTCAGCTACTTCTTTCTTTTTCTCCCCCTCTCTCTGACGTTCTTGTTCTCTTCTTTTTTTTCCTCTTCCTCCTCCTCCTAGATTCCCCCCATCCCCCCTGCCACCCAAACAGTCTTCCACCAGAGTGAGGGTGATCGATTTACCAGGGGCTACACTCTTAGAGAAAACTGTCTCTCTCCGTGGCAGGGGGTGGGACTATGTGCCCTGCTTTTCTCTCTGTGTCTTCACTTTTATATATACAGAAGCCTAAAGATGAAAGAAATTGTAACCCTCACCTAAGGAAGACCTTCATTTGACAGATGTGACTTCTGCCTCAAGTGTCCCAGCTTCTTTTATTCCATTTTCTCCTGCTTTTCATTAAATGAATCTATTAAGGTCCAAATAACACCCGCGTGACAGCGAATCTGTCTCTTGGACATCATCTACTCTCAGAGTTGTAGCTGGGCACACTCAGGCGACTTTTGTTTCCTGCTTCTGGGTTTGCTATTGCAGGGTGATGATCTTTCCTGCATTTGTAGATTGATTGCTAGAAGGGAATTTTCATAAGGTTTTCTGCATTATTCTTGTTATTATTATCTGGTGATTGCAATCCTGGGCCCCGGGTGATAAATCTTCAAATTATGCCAATTGTTATATTTTCTGCACCTTCCAATAACTATTATATTCCCCTCTCTTATGTCTTTGAAATGTTTACGGTTGCCATTTGTCTTCCCCAATGGTCGTGTCAAACAGATCATTAATTAGACATATTTTCTCCAGAGCAGAAGTGAGCAGACGCATTGTGAAAGCACCTCACTGTTTAGGACTTCCGGTGACATCCGCATTCGCCTCCTACTCCTGGGCGGTTCTTACTAACCAGAAGTATCTAGTATCTAGATTGATTTTTATTTTCTTCTTTCTTTCTTTCTTTCTTTCTTTCTCTCTCTCTCTCTCTCTCTCTCTCTCTCTCTCTTTCTTTTTCTTTTTCTTTTCTTTTTTTTCAGGACAGGGTTTCTCTGTAGCTTTGGAACCCATCCTGGAAACTAACTCTTGTAGACCAGGCTGGCCTCAAACTCACAGAGATCTGCTTGCTTCTGCCTCCTAGTGCTGGGATTAAAGGCCTGCGCTACCACCACCCGGCTCTAGATTTTCTTAATAAAAGCCCATGATGCTTTTTGTTTTCTTTTCAAACTCAAATCATTCTTTTGAAAGTAAATGGATGTCAATTTTCCTCCTTTCTTCTTTTGAGCAACTCTTTAAAACATAGATTTTTGAGTCATGACCTATTTCCTTGCTTTCATATATGTGCGGTGTGTGTTACATTGCTGGGGTCTGTACTGTGTCATATTATACAAATAAAACCTCCAGATTGGAGCTGCAAATACACTTATCTTAGTCTGGCAACCCGATGAGACAATTGAAAGATTTTTTTTTCCCTCTCAGTGGGCAGTTATATTTCGTTATGGAGTTTGCAGAAATCCGAGTTATAACACGTTTCTCCCTGCAGTGTGTACTCATCAGAATGTGTATTGAGATTGTTTATCCCCAACGAAAGGCGTGTGTCCTTTCTCTGCACGCAGCGACTTGTTCGGATTTCTGTTTGCTTGTGTCCCCCTCCAGACTGTCGGAAAGAGAAAGTCTGCTTTCTCAGCAGGACGGGAAGGCCTGCAAAGCTTCCTCCCAGCAAGAGCCCAGAGCCTGCTGCTGGGCCTGCAGAGAGAACAGCCAAACTAGGCCAGGCCTCGCCTCCTCTCTTCCGCCCCCCCTCCCGCCCCGCCCCGCACTCATAGCGGGAGTTGGGGAGTTGCCTCCCACACCACAGCTTACACTCTTATTTGGATCTATTTTAATTTTTCTTTCTGGTTCCCTAGAGGACACTGGTAGCCAGCACACAATGCTAGGGTGGTATCAAACGGCTCAGCGGATGACCCCGGAAGGATGAATCACAGGCCTGCTTCCCTCACAGAAGCCGGATTAGTCCTGAATAACGTTCTGCAGCAAACTGTTTCCCAGAGAAAGGCGGCCTTCAGCGGACCTTTCTTTGTTGCCTTTGTAACAAGTCTGTTTATTCATTCAGTCAGTTTGACTGTTTTGGAAAGAAAACAAATATCTATATTTTTTCTGGGCGGATGCACTTCTCATCCAGGAGTTTTAATATGAACGTAAAAGAGTCAATTATGCTTACATGTCTTTAAGCAAAACATCGAATGAAGCTTACATTGATTAGTGTGAAATGAATTTACCTGTACCAAGTCAGTAAGTGTATGGTGACACAGGTTCAACTTTCTCCTCCCCACCAACCTTTAATCTCCATGTAGTTCCATTCCAGCCTTAGGTCGCCAGAGACTGGAAATCCTAAAGAGCTGTATTAACTGCAGGGATATAGATACACACACATGATTTTCCCCCTGTTATTTTTCTTCCTGTCTAGTGCTGCCCTCTGGTGACCATTTTAAAAATTGCATGCCATAGATTTTTGCAGTTTAGCCTACAGGTAAATAATGAACAATCAATAAAAGTATGCAATACACTTCAGTTTGTTTGTATTCATTTTTTTACCTATTAAATAAACTCAGGACATATCATACTCCATTCTGGAATTTTCCTGTTTAGGAATATTAAACACGGGTCAGGTATTCAGATGTGTATCCCCCGTAAACTATCTAAGTTTGCTTTCTGCTTGGGCTGAAAAAAGGAGATAAACTTAGCCCAAAGGACAAAGTTTTCCTTTATAGCTTCCCCCTTTGTTTTAGCGACCATTCTTCCTAACTGCTTCAAATGCTAGCCTTTCTGATAGACGAGCTCGGCAACACCAACACCCGGCAGTGCTTATCAGACACAGAGGAGGAGGAAGGCAGCGAGCTCCCGCCTGACACTGTAGTTATTGCCGCATCCTAGAGCTGCAGAATGTTCTGGTAATTGTCCAGCCTGCAGGGTATGTTGGAGTGAATGGCTATGTAGGGAAAGGATCAATGCACCCATGTCGCAGCAACCTTGAACCCGAGTGAGTGATGTGTGTGCATGTGTGCACACATGTATGTGTTTACGTGGTGTGTGTATGTGTGTATGCATGTGTGTGTTTCTGTGTGTATATGCATGTGTATATGTTTATGCGTGTATGTATGTGTGCACGTGTGTGTGTGCATGCATGTGTGTGTCTGTGTGTGTGTGAAGACAGAAGGAAAAGTACAGTGACTGTGTTGGCTTCATGTGGGAATTAAAGTTACGTCTCAGGCATCATTTCTTCTCAAAAACCCCATATAGGAGGTGGGGATTGTTGCCCTTATTTAATGATGGAGAACCGCTGGCCTAAAAGGATTGATCAAAGCTGCTTGGCTTCACGTGAAATCTATGTTGGCCTGACTGTAAGGCCTTCTATCTTTCTAGGGCATCACTGGATAAGTAATTGGTTAGAGGGTGTCAGAAGATGTTGCTGTTGTCTGATGGGATTTATCCTTGACTGGTTTTGGAACTTGCTGCTTTCCCAGCATCTAGATGCTCTGACTGCAATCTAGTATGGAGGAGGAGCAGCAAGAGAAAAGAGGGAGAGGAGAGGTGTACTTGGACAACTCCTTAAGGACCTTAGGTTTTGTAGGGTCATTGCTCAGTGGCTCATTTTGGTCAAGATTCTTTTGTGTGGATGTGTGCATAAGCTAAAGAAGCTCCCAAATCACAAGGATGTCCAGTCGAGCCTTCCTCTGGTCCGGGTTCTAGGCAGACACAAACACAAGGAAGCTCTAACCCAGCCTGCCCCGGTCAGTGTTCAAGGCAGACACAAAGCACAAGGAAGCTCTAGCCCAGCCTGCGCCTGGTCTGAGTGCAAGGCGGACATTTGAGGAATATAGTTGTAGAACTACAGTCATGCCGGCAGGGACAATGCTTGCTGCCTCCTTTTGTTTTCCAAAGACAGTTACTATGGTCCATTCTGAGAAGCAGAACACCATGAGCGCATACTGCCCTAACTGGGGCTTTTCCCTTCTGCACAGGGAAGGAGGCTGGAGAAAGGCTTCAGCTATATGTATCAGCTGTTCTCTTTGTAACTTGGACAATAGCTACTGAGTCTTGTGGAATCTGTGGAAAACATCTCGTATTTCCTAACTGAAATATTGCATTATTCAAAATTGAAACCAAGAAGGGGCGTACAGTCCCCCACACTGTCATTGCTCTTTCACAGGTAACCCCGTTTCAGGAGAGACCCTTTCTAGAGACTTTTCAGCTTTAAATTAGATTATAAATCACACTTTTCTTAACTGTAGCTGCACCGAAATGTCTTTCCATCACAGTTACGCATCAATGTGTCATTGTCTGCACACATCCTATGAAGTCGGTGTTGGGTAGTCCTTCACGTGCATGACTAAAAACTGCAATTGCAAATGGACACATGCAATACCTTTGATACACAGCCAGGAGGGAAAATTAAAGTTCGATGAAGTCTCAATCACAAAACAGAGCCCTTTACTAGAAGATTTTGTCGCGTGAATTCCCTAACACTCTCCAGGTTTGTTTTGAAAACCACTGCTGTGGGAAGTCAGTAAGCTGAGGTCACACTGAAGGAGTTTACTATCTCTTTCTTTCTTTCTTTTTTTTTTTTTAAGTTGGTTTTCAGAATTACTATGAAGGGGCTGGAGAGAGGGCTCAGTGTTTAAGGGGTCTTCTTGCACAACCAGGAGGGTCAGAATATGGATCCCAGAGTCCTGCACAGGCCTGCGCCTGTGCCTCCAGCTCTGAGGGAATGTGGCAGAGACAGAAAGATCCTAGGGGTTGTTGACTTCCAGCCTTGGGGAAACTGAAAGCCCCAGAATTTGGGGAGACCCTCCAAAGAACAGGTGGAAAGTGCGGGAGGAGGAAATGCGGTTCCTTCTTCTGACCTCCATGCATGTGCCTAGGTGTGTGCACCCACACGTACCCAGGAGCACATTCAAGCAAAGGTCAGCACACAGAAAAATGGGCCTCATCGTGCCGTTTCCCACAGACTTTGTTCTTTTTCTTTTTGTTTGGAGCTGAGGACAGAATCCAGGGACTCTACCACTGAGCTAAATACCTAAGCCTATTTTGTTTTCATTTATCCCCATGCGTACTTCTCTCTTCATGGTTTGAGCTTTTTATTACTGATCACCACTGTCCTCGAAATAGCTGCCACATCCAACTCTCATTCTGAAGTTTTTTTTTTTGTGTGTGTGTGTATGTGTGTGTGTGTGTGTGCATGCATGGGGGTGTCTGTGCATACGCATGGACATGCACACGAGTGTTGAGGTCAGAGGACAACCTTAAGTATCATTCCTCAGCTGCTGTCTACCTTTCCCTTCGACAGTCTTATTAGCCTGAAACTCACCACATAGGCTAGGTTGGTTTGCTAGCAATCCCCAATTGATCTGCCAGTGTCTGTTTCACCAGGCCTGGGATTATAAACACATGCGAAAATGTGGGTTCTAAAAGACCAAACTCCAGTTCTCACATGCGCAAGGCATGCGCTTCCCTGGCTGAGATATGACACCAATTCTTGCTCTCCAAGTTGAAATGTGTTTTTACCCACTGTCCTGGTCGATTATCACAGTTCCTTTGGTAAGGGACAGAAAGAGAGATGGGCCATGCTCACTAACTAGGGATCTGCTTGTCGACAAACCATGACTTCACCCAGTCCCAAATGTGCCACCCAGAGGCTTCTTTCCATTCTGTCCTTCCCTGCTGTCCTCAGCTCCCCGCTAGCCTCCGGTCCTGTGATTTCGGACTCACCTGCTCATGAGACCACGTCCTTTCTGAGCCATCTTTGACACAGACGTCCAGCCTCAGCTCCGTCCCCGTGGCTCCATGCTTGCTGTCCACACATAAGTTTGCTGCCAGGTTCCGAATCTGTAGCAGGAAGAACACATGAAGCATGGCGCTGTGTCATTACCTTCCTGACAATCCTGCAATGGATCAAGGTCTCCCTCGGTTAATCTTTTTGATGACGCTACTAGAAAGACACCTTGAATTTACATGCAGTCTGTCTAGAAAAATGAGGGCATAAAATTTAACATAGTCTAGGTGGAAGAACATGATATAGTCAAAAGACAAAATTGCAGCTTCTTGCAGCAAAGTTAGTCTTTGATGATGTGGCAGAGGGAGTGGGGTGGAGCCTTGACCTCTCCAATGAGTGTTTTCTTGTGTAGGCCGTGCTTCACATGGAATTTGCTATTCTACTTTAAGCACCTCTACCGTTACCCTCCCAATGGGGAGAGAATCCAGGCAGGTGTTACAGGGTAGGTGTATGGTTAAGAAAAAGGGTCCTCCAGTTTTCCACAGCTCTAAGCAGATTTCAGGGGCCTCTAGTTCCAGTTCAGCTGCAACTGGCTGTTGTCATAGGTTAGCAGTTTTCCTGGATGGTAAATTAAATCTGAGAGGATTAGCTATCCTAGCTGAAGATTATATACATGTTTCATAGTACAGTTCTTTCCAGTTATTATCTTAGTAAGAAATAGTTAAGGGTAAATAAAGGGAAATAATGAAAATACCAAGAACAGAAACAGTGGCAGATGTGCAGTCTGGACAGGGGCAGACATTGTAGTGGCCTTCTTCTTGGAGTGTCCACCAATCCTCTGCCGGCATCATCACCATAGCTTGTAGTAGGGCAAGAATTTTCATGTAAAGTCTAAGAAAGTTTTATAAAAAAGGCTCCTAGACTCGCAAAAACGGGAGCCAAGTTCAGCTTCTTGTTAACTGCAGTTTTTCAAATAGGCTCTGTTTGCAAGGGAGGTACAGCAAAACCTGCTCACCTTCTTTAAGAAAAACAGCAGCTTCCTGGTTCACCAGCACAAAGGGCTTTGACTCTTTTGGAAGGTCTGGCCATGGAGCATGTAAATGGGGCTTGTGAGTAGGGAGTGCTACAACTTGCTTAATGGCAGCATAGACCCACTGTGTGCCTGAAAACGGGACTGTGAGAATGGCTCTCAGAGGCAAACAGACCTTCACCATGTTGAACTGGGTGGAGTCAACAGGCAGGACTGCAGAGTTGATCCTAGCCATGCTCACTTAGCATTTTTTTTTAAAGCAGTCTTGGTCAGAAAATGATTACAGATGTGCAATAAAGACAGATTCAGATGAGGAAGACTTCTAAATGGGTAACATTGTTGGATAAATGTACATAGAATTGAGAGAGAGAGGGAGAGAGGGAGAGAGAAAAGAAAAGAGTATAGACACAGTTATAATATAAAAGAGTACAGACAGTCATAGGTTAAAGAAGTAAAGATAATAAAATAAATATTAAAAAGTAGAGTAAGAAAAATAAGCCACATAAAGATGGAAAATACACAGAGAGTCTGGATTATGTATATTATTGTGTTTTCTTTGAATTTTTGACTGTAAATGAGCTAAATGCAAAGAGATATTTTATTGTACGGGCTGCTAAGCTAAACCAATATNATTAGAGGCATCTTGACTTCAAAATTTGGGTCTAAGGATTTATTGTTTTGGAAAAGGTTCTTTTCTTGTTTCCACAGAGGATGAGAACCTGTGGATTCCTTCCAGATTAGTGTGGTTTCATGAACCAAGATCCCTCAAAGGTCTCCATGAACCCTAAAATTACTTCATTCAACAAAAAGCAGGAAGTAGTTTGGCGAGAACTATGCCCAAATTCCCAAATATTGTTTATAAATGTTTGTTTAAAGGGGGTATGCTATAGAGATTTGCATTGGTATGGATCTTGGTTTATTGATACAAATTTAAGATCAATTTTGTAATATGTATATTTTTACTCTTGATTAAGGTATTGTGTTTGTGCAATTCATTTAAAAATGTAATGTATAATTAAGAAATACAGGTTCATAGATAGTCATCTATAAAGTCAATTTTGTAGTCATGTTAATTATGTTTTTTAGATGTACAGTGATATATTTCAGATGACTAGGTATTCTTCAAACCTTTAAAAGACTTATAGAATATGGCATTTAAATATTTTAAGAACTTAGTTATTTCTCAACAATGAGACATGTCTGCTCCTGGCAGCACCAGTCTACTTCAAGAGGATGATGGGCATCAAAGAGGCTCCTCATGCAAAAGTTTGCTAGCATTTGGGCAAGAAACTTCTCTTGCCTGAACTGCTTGACTGGACTTGCAGGACCCACAGAGAAGCCATGTAGCTGCCGAAGGAGACAGATGCCAGATCTTTGCCTGGTAAAGCCACAGCCATATGGTGATACACTGATAAATAAAAATGTGTTAATTTAAGGTATAAGAGCTAGCTAGAAAGATGCTTAAGCTATTGGTCAAACAGTATTGCAAATAATATAGTTTCAGAGTGATTATTTTGGGTCTGGGCATCCAGGAATGAATGAGTAGCCTCTATCAACAGATTGACTGCTGAAGTTGCCTAAAGAAGGTAAGACAGTCCTTCAGAGTTCCTGCTTCATGAAAGACTCTTCCAGACATTCTGCAGGACACAGAAAAAAGTGACTGACAAACTGACAATATAGGCAGAACTGTCTTTGAATTTTCCTGATTCATGAAAAAGTCTACCAGATACTATTGATGCCTACAACATTACAGAAGAACTTTAGGTGACTCTCCAGGCAGTGAGATGTCTGTCAATTCTAGAGTTTTGGAAGTTGCTTACAATGCACTTCCTTTTTACTTAGGTAATATTATATCTTTCTGAGTCTTTGATGGAGTTAAAGAATAGATAATAATTATAGTTTTCTTTAGTTATGATGAAAGTTAAAGTAGATATAAATACTGTAACTGTAATCCTTGCTTGACACCTGTTTTAGTATATGTAATTTTACTATGTTAAAATTAAAACCTTCCTTCTTATTTGAACAGAAAAGAGGAAATGGTGTGGGAAGTCCTTCTGTATATGTGTTGCTTATTGGTTAATGAATAAAGAAACTGCTTTGGTCTATGATAGGGCAGAATAGAGCTGGGGGGAAACTAAACTGAATGCTGGGAGAAAGTAGGCAGAGTCAGTGAGAAGCTATGTTGCTACCTGCAGGAGACAGACATGCTGGAACCTTGCCAGTAAGTCACAGCCATGTGGCCATACACAGATTAATGGAGATGGGTTAGTTTAGGATATAAGAGCTAGCTAAAAATATGCTTAAGCTATTGGCCAAACAGTATTGCAAATAATATAGTTTCTGTGTGATTATTTTGAGTCAGGACGATCAGGAAACAAACGGGTAGACTCTGCCAACACAGGAGTTCATGAGAGTGAACTTGATTGCTCATCAAAGCAATCACTTAAAGAAGATGATAGCTTCATCTTTTGGAAACAAGGACTAAGGCTAAACTTTCTTCTGGGATTCTGAAAGGGGGAAGGGCAAGAGAGGGAAAAAAGGCTTTTATAAATTCATTTTTCATCATGTGTGTGATAATGCACACTTGTTCTTCTTTAGTAAAATAGGAACACAAAGAGTTAGATTTCACCACCACTGTCACCTCTGTGTGTGTGTGTGTGTGTGTGTGTGTGTGTGGTAGTTAGTGTCCTGCTTTCTATCCCAGACCACCCTGGAACTTTTGATCCTATTGCTTCAGCCATCTCTACTGGGCCTGGTGTGCTTTTACTGTGCTGAGCCCGGCTCACTCTGAAAAGCTCTGGTTTTATGTCCTCCTCTGGGTCCAGGGTGTCACCTTTCTGAAGCTTTCTGTCACCTGAACAGCACTTTGAGAGGTTTGTCTTTTTACCGCTGGGCCCTACAATCCCCTGATGCAGTCTTGTTAGAGAAGGGTTTGCAAAGCGTACGCTGACGTCACCTTCATGGCACGACTCTTCCCGCTAAGGAAATCTTAGCGGTGCTCCAAACCGCATTTACGAGGGGAAAACAGCTGTTTGTATACTTGCAACCACTTTGCCAGAGGAGAGGCTTTCCCACACGGTTGACATTCAAGCTTGCCCATCCGCAGGACTCTGCTCTTAGAAATGGAGGAAAGAGATAGCATTCCAAGTTAGGGACAGGAGTGGTGGCTCTGCCAGCTCAGCCGGTGGATACAACCAACCCTCCCAGAGAGCGTCCACTTTGTTTCCAGAAGTTATGAGCCCCAAAGGTCTCTGGCAGGGATGGGTGGCACCATTTTCTAAACTCTTGAATTTTCTAAATTCTCCCTCAAATGGCAGCTGTGTAGACAACGGAATAAACTGCCTTGCAAGCCAAATTTCAAGTTTCAAAGGCGTAATTGTCTACATCTGTGTAAATTCCAGCACAAAGTTGTGCCAGAGAGGAGATGCTGAGAGTTCAGGACAGGACAAGGTAGACAGCTGGGACAAGACTAGCACCAGGCCACTCTCACTTCCTCCTTTCTCCCTTGTCACTGAATCTGTAGTCTTTGGACCTATGTCTTCTCGGTTTCTCCTTTTATTCACAAGCACAGCTTCATGAAAAGAGGGAAAAGAAGGAGAACAGAATCCGAACAGAATAAAGGCTTGTAGACTGTAGGTGTTAGTATTTATAAATGATTTTTATTTGGTCTGAGCTCTACACTTGTGGCTGAAAGTAAGGCAGTTCACACACACACACACACACACACACACACACACACACACCTCAAATCTAGGACATGGAGTATTGCATAAATCTGTGGGAGAGGACATCACTTTCAGGACTCATTCCCTTGACATCCAGCTCCAGGGCTTGACATTATTAAATTGCATCAAGGGGTCTGGAGGAAGGCTAAGTAGGATGAGACAAGTGAAGTGGTACTTGACTAGGCAGGAGTAGGAAGAAGGTGAAAACCAGGGAGAAGGGAATCACGATGAATTGCAGGGACACAGAAATATGATCCTGTGGGGCAAGGGTTAGGAAAAGGTAGAGAGTAGAGGCTTTTTGTAGGTTTGCAAGATGAGCCAGGTTCAAGTTCAACAACCATTTATTCCCCCCCCCACC